CCCCCCCCGCTCCCGGTGACCCCCCAAGCCCCGGGAGACTCCGCCGGGCCCCGCGACCGCCCCTCACCAGGGCTCACGCGCGTATTCCTCCATCTTGTCAGGCACCGCCGCCCTCGCCCGCCTTCCCGCCGCGCGATTGGCTGACGGGCCCCGCACCGGCCAATGGCGACGGAGGGCGGGACTAAGGCCTGCGTCGCCGGGGGGGGCTGCGCATGCGCCGTGTCCCCTTCACTGACTGACGGGCGGCGGCGGCGGCTCTTGGCTGGGGCCTCAGGCCGCCCGTTCCGCCGGGGGGCTGCTCCGGGGAGCATCCGCTCTGGTCGCTTCACGTACTAGATCCACTTCATGTACTGGGCCCTCTCCGTTGACTCAGAATCACAGAATCTTCTAGGTTGGAAGGGACCTTAAAGATCATCTTGTCCAACCGTCAACCTAACTGACAAAAAATAGACACCCGCACAACAAACAAGGAGCATCATCACTAAACCAGACCTCCCAGCACTACATTAACCCGGCTTTTGAACACCTCCAGGGATGGTGCCTCAACCCCCTCCCTGGGCAGCCCATTCCAATGGCTGATAACCCTTTTGGTGAAAAAATTTTTCCTAATATCCAGCCTGAACCTACCCTGGCGCAACTTGAGGCCATTTCCTCTTGTCCTGTCGCCTGTGACTTGAGAGAAGAGACCCATCTCTCTACACCCTCCTTTCAGGTAGTTGTCGAGAGCAATAAGGTCTCCCCTCAGCCTCCTCTTCTCCAGGCTGAATAACCCCAGCTCCCTCAGCCTCTCCTCATAAGACTTATTCTCCAGACCCCTCACCATCTTTGTTGCCCTTCTCTGGACCCGCTCCAGCACCTCAATGTCTTTTTTATGGTAGGGGGCCCAAAACTGGACACAGTACTCAAGGTGAGGCCTCACCAGTGCCCAGTACAGGGGGACAATCACCTCTTGGGCCCTACTCCCCACTCTGTTCCTGATACAGGCCAGGATGCTGTTGGCTTTCTTGGCCACCTGGGCACACTGCTGGCTCATGTTCAGCTGGCTCAGGTGGCCAAGAAAGCTCGGCTCTCTTCTTCCGCCGGGTTCGCTTCACCTGTGGGGCCGGCTCTGTCCGCCGGGCCTCTAGGCCTGCTGGGCCCACTAGGCCTTGCCTCATCCCTGAGGCCCTCTTTGCTCAGCAGGTCCACCGACCCCGCTTGTGCCGTCCTCGGGCACAGCCGTCAGCGTGTGTCCCATGGGAGTGTCCCCAGAGATGGTGCTGGCCCCACAGGGCCCCGTGAGGGGATGCGGAGCATTGGAGGGGCTCCAGTGGACGAAAAGAGCCTACAGGAAAGCTAAGGGGGGACTCCTGATGAGGGAGGGGAGCCCTAGGAGGAGGGGGAAGGGTTTGACACTGAAAGAGGGGAGATTGAGATTGAAGTGCTGGAGCTTGTCCAGAGGAGAGCCACCAAGCTGGTGAGGGGTCTGGAGAACAAGTCCTACGAGGAGAGGCTGAGGGAACTGGGCATGTTTAGTTTGGAGAAGAGGAGGCTGAAGGGAGACCTCATTGCCCTCTGCAACTCCCTGAAAGGAGGGTGTAGAGAGGTGGGGGTTGGTCTCTTCTCCCAAGGGAATAATGACAACAGCAGAAGAAATGGTCTGAAGTTGGGGCAGGGGAGGTTTAGGTTAGATATCAGGAAGAATTACTTTACTGAAAGAGTGGTCAGGCACTGGAACAGCCTGCCCAGGGAGGTGGCGGAATCACCATCCCTGGAAGTATTTAAGAAACGTGTAGACATGGTTCTTCAGGGCATGTTCTAGTGCCCAAGATTATTGGTTTGTGGGTGGGTGTGATGTGGTGGGGTGTTGTGTGTGCTGTTTTGGGTTTTTTGTTTGTTTGTTTGTTTTTTGTGGTTGGACTCGATGATCTCAGAGGTCCCTTCCAACCATGGTGATTCTAAGATGTGGGGAAGAACTTGTTTGGTGTGAGGGTGGTGAGAGCCTGGCCCAGGTTGGCCAGAGAAGCTGTGGCTGCCCCATCCCTGGAGGGGTTCAAGGGCAGGTTGGAGGGGGCTTGGAGCAACCTGGTGTGGTGGGAGGTGTCCCTGCCCAGGGCAGGGGGTGGGAATGAGATGGTCTTCAAGGTCCCTTCCAACCCAAACTGTTCTATGATGTATGATGATATAATGTCTCTGTTAGGGCTAGGCCCACAGCACTCTGACAACAGCCAGAAACACAAAGCAGCTTTTATTTGGGCCTCTAATAAATCGTGCCTGCAGTAAAAGCGTGAGCAAATCCAGGAGGTTGGGGTCTGCTCTGTCGATCCTCAGGTGACTGATGTGTCTGTAAATGCATCCTGACGGAAAATGCTGTGGTGCCCTGAAAGTGAAAGGGGAGAAGAAACCTGGTGACACCTGGCTAAACTGGAGGAGGATGTCTGGCTGGTGACAGAGGGGTCAGTGCAGGGCTCACGCTGAGGGCATCCGTCCCACCAGAGCTGCTGAGACACTCAGGAGCTGCTGAAGCAGCTGGGCTGACCTCGGGGTGTCCCTGGGGACACTCCTGTGGGCTGGGCAGTGTGGGGTGGGCGAGAGCTGGGCTCTGAGGTCAAGAGACTCAAAGTCAGCCTCACCTCCATCCCTGGAAAGATGATGGAATGACTCGTTCTGGACATAGGAGTCCTGGTGGACAATAGGATGCCCATGAGCCAGCAATGTGGCCTTGTGGCCAAGAAGGCCAATGGCATCCTGGGGGGCATCAGGAAGAGTGTGAGCAGCAGGTGGAGGGAGGTCATCCTGCCCCTCTGCTCTGCCCTGGGGAGGCCCCAGCTGGAGCACTGGGACCAGTTCTGGGCTCTCCAGTTCCAGAAGGACAGGGAACTGCTGGAGAGGGGACAGCAGAGGCTACAAAGGTGATGAGGGGCCTGGAGGAGAGGCTTATGAGGAGAGGTTGAGAGAGAGGCTACAAAGATGATGAGGGCCTGGAGGAAAGGCTTATGAGGAGAGGCTGAGGGACTTGAGGCTTTTTAGTCTGGAGAAGAGAAAGCTGAGGGGGGATCTGATCAACACCTATAAATACTTCAAGGGTGGGTGTCAGGGGGATGGAGCCAGTCTTTTTTCATTGGTGCCCAGTGACAGGACAAGAGGGAACGGGCACAAACTTGACTGTAAGAAGTTCCATCTCAACATGAGGAGCAACTTCTTGACTTTGAGGGTGGCAGAGCCCTGGAAGAGCTGCTGAGGGGGGTGGTGGAGTCTCCTTCTCTGGAGACATTCAGACCCCACCTGGACATGTTCCTCTGGGACCTGCTCTGGGTAGCCCTGCTCTGGCAGGGGGATGGACTGGATGATCTCCAGAGGTCCCTTCCAACCCCATGTGATTCTGAGATGGTGCCTGTAAGTGGGTGGTTCTCCAGTGCAGCCGGAGATGATCTCCAGAGGTCCCTTCCAACCCCGTCTGAGATGGTGCCTGTAAGCAGGTGGTTCTCCGGTGCAGGCAGGAAGGCAGAGCTGAAAACAGCAGAATTAGTTTCTGTGCTGGCAGCAAATGCCAGGGCAGCCTGCAAAGCCCTTGCAGCCTTTCCCCACGTGTTTGCAAATGCTCTGAGATGTAAATTGCTTATTCTTTTCCCACTCCTAATTTAACCTTACATGCTCTCTTGTAAGGGTGGTAAATCACGGGGTGGCAACAGGCGACGCGGATTGTGCACCAAGGCACTTAATTGCTCTAATAAATCACGGGCTGAAGCAAGGGAAGGGAGCTGAAATGCTCCCCCTGCTTTAATTTTAAAGGACTCCTTGTGACTCTAAGCTCATGGTCTGGGTGCTGCGATGGAGTGTTTGTCCTTATTTGAGGCAGGATGAGAGCAGAGGGTGCTGCAGTGACGGGGATTACCAGGAGGTGGTATTGTGGCTTCTGCTTTGGCCGGGGAGGAGAGATGGGAAGGGTGGAAAATCTCAGCCTCGTCCCAGCCATCGTGGCCTCATCTCCCCACTGTCCTCTGTTGCTGCTGTAGCTGGTCCCACACTGGTCTGACCCTCCTTAGGATGGCGATTTATCGCCCAAGTCCTTGTTCTTTCCTCCTAATGAGTGGCAGGTTAATTATATCAGGCTCAATGGTGACTTTGGTCATCCCTTTCACAAGCTGTGGGAGAGGTTATGAAGAGCCTGACCTGCAGTGGTGAGGGTCACCAAGGGGACTTCCAGTAGATCAGCTGGTGGCACTGGTGACACCCCCGGGCAGGCTGCAGGAAGGTGCTCAAGGGCTTTCTGGGGTTTTCTGAATTTCCCTGCAGCCAGAAGCCAGTTCCTTTCCCAATATATAATGTCTTTTCCCCATTTCCCTTGCTCTCATGTGAGCAGGTGTTTTTCAGAAGGAGGTTTTGGGTGAAGTTGCAGGTGGGTTTGGGAGCAGTTTCTCTCACTGGCCAAGAGACCAACATGTTCCAGAGCAGCCGTGTGTCACAACCAGGCAGGGACGTGTCACTTGCTTCCTCAAGGAACATCTAAAATGAAAAAAAGATCAGTGCGTTTAACCTTCTGTCCTGCAGGCTGTGAAGGAAAGGGAAATAAACCAGATTAGAGGAATCCATTCAATTTTCAGTTGTTCTTTATCAGCTAATAAGAAAAAATGAAGGAAGATGGACAGTCCTTGGTGGTGGCACAAGAGATGGGGGCATGGAAAGCTTTCCCGGCTCCACCATGGAAGCTGTACCTGTGTGGTGTGTGTGCTTAATCTGCCTCTGTCTTGGCTCCTCGTCTCTAGGACGTGGCTGATCATGTTGCTGTGTTTCAAAGGACAGAAATATTCATTAGTGCCTGCGAGGTGCTCGGTTGCTATGGAGATGGGGATCCTGATAAATGCAGAAACTGAGGGAGCCTGGGCAGAGCTGCTGGGAGCTGTTCTGTGCCAAACCACGCCGTGCCGCACCGTGCTGTCCTGCCTGGCACGGACAGAGTCAACCCATGGTGGCCAGAGCTGCTGTCCTGAGTCCCCACACAAAGCCCCAGTCACTGGTGACCCGTGAAAGAGCAGCCATTGCAGACATATCCACAGCTCCTCTTATTCTGGGGTGAAACCACTACATTTTCTTTCTTACAGCACTAAGAACTCTGGAATATGGTGCAGTCAGAGCAGTGCTAATATCCCTGCCTCAAGAGAGACACACGACAGCCAAGATAAACTGCAGTAAGACCATCCACTACAAACCATGACAAGTTTAGGGTGACCCCTGCTTCTCCCCTGGCTTTCCTGCTAATGAAGGAATATTTCTGTGCAAAACTCTGACTCGGTGTTACCTCTGCGTAGCCAGCTCTGCAGCTCAGCAGAGATGAGCTTTGGGCTCCCAAATCTGGGAAGGATGTGAGATGCTTCAGGAGAAACTCAGAGCCCCCCAGGTCTCCTTTACAGCTTCTCAAGGAACTTGGTGTCTGGTGCTTCTCATCACAGGAGTCAAGATTCAGGAACAATGAAACAGGGACTTTATCATGGTGTCGATTGTGATTTTACTCTGTTGAAAACCGATCTGCAACCCATCAAACAGTCATGTAAGAAAGGCAGAGAGAGACAGACAGACAATTCCAGGTTTTACTCACCGATGGAAAAATTCTTTCTCCGTTTTAGCATTGCAAATTGTCCCTGGGGCTGTCCACGTTCCCTGTCCCTGAGCCAGGGGTGGCACACCCGAGAGAGCTTGGATCTTTCCTGAAAGGAGGCACGTAGCTATGATTCCTTGTTTCCTTTTTCCCCTGCCCTCTCCAGTTGGGAAATTAGACTCCAGTTTGTTACTTACCACTTACAAACACTTGGTGGCCGAGCGCAGCCACACCACGTAGAAATACCCAGCATTTGGCCATTTCTTCCATCCCCAGAGTCTGTTAACTCAAATTTCTCTTCCAGAAGACACGGTGTTAAAGCTTTTTGAACTCTGTATCCTGAAAAGCAACCAAAGAGTGTGTTAGAGAGGTCCAAGGCTGTAGAAAAGTGGAACAAGAAGACATTCATTTGGCTTCTTCATGTTCAAACAGCACCAAAAGGACACCAATGTGTTGAATTCACTCTGGTTCCTGTTGCCTTCAGCGCTGTTGCAGCCATGGGAGCTTTGGGGTGAGGGAAGGAGGAGAGACAGGGCTCAGAGACAGGGCTGAGACCAGGAGAAGAATCACAGAATGCTACGGGGTTGGAAGGGACCTCTGGAGATCATCTCCTCCAACCCCCTCCCAGAGCAGGGCCACCCAGAGTGGGTTGCACAGGAACGTGTCTGGGCAGGGTTTGGATGTCTCCAGAGATGGAGACTCCACCACCTCCCTGGGCAGCCTCTTCCAGGGCTCTGCCACCCTCAAAGTGATGAAGTTCCTCCTCATGTTTAGGTGGAATTTCTTATATTCAAGTTTGTGCCTGTTCTCTCTTGTTCTGTCCCTGGGCACCATGAAAAAAGACCACTGAAAAAGAAGGGGAAGGGAAAGGGGATGCCTACAAGTATCTCAAGGGAGGGTTGAAGGAGGAGGGAGCCAGACTCTTTTCAGTGGTTCCCAGTGAGAGGCCGAGGGGCAACGGGCACAAGTTGGACCAGAAGAGGTTCCACTCAAATATGAGGAGAAACTTCTTCACGGTGAGGGTGGCAGAGCCCTGGAAGAGGCTGCCCAGGGAGGGTGTGGAGTCCCCTTCTCTGGAGATTTTCAAGACCCGCCTGGATGCTCCTGAGTAACGTGCTCTGACAAGCTCTAGGCAATCCTGCTTCAGCAGGGGAGTTGGACTAGATGATCTCTATGGTCCCTTCCAACTCTAAAATTCAGTGAAATTTCCATGTCCCTCCTGGTCCTCAGTGACCGGTGAGCACCAAGACAAACATCACAATACTGGGGAGACGGAATTGATGGGGTGAAATGGGATGAAATTTAACCCGGCAACATTTAGGGTTACGCGCTTGGAAACTAAAACCAAGTTTCTTCTACAGTCTGGAAAAAATCTGGGTTGTGCTGGTGAATCATAGGAGGACTATGAGCAGGAGCCGGGCCTGGGACGCTGGAGATAAATGAAATCCCAGCGTGCAAGAAGAATGTGCATTTCCCGTCAGGATGGGGGAATGTCTGGTTTGTAACACGAGGCATTGGGAGACTCACCTGCAGGACCCTGTGCCTCTGCTCTGGGTGGGATCTGAGGCAGGGAGTCGGGCAGAGAAGATAATTAGGCTGACGAGGAACATCTTTGGAGAGCTTATTTTACAGAAGAGAACCAAAGGGCTACTTGCTTGGACTAGCAAAGAGAGAGGCCTGAGAGCAGACGGTAACTATTAGGAGGATGATAAAGGAGAAAGGATGAAGTTGGCAGCGTAACAAGCAGGTACAAAATGCTGACCATGAGGTAAAGCTGCCTTCAAACCTGGAGAGAAGCGCCCAACTGCCCCTGTCCCTCTGGGAGAAGTTGCAGGTACCAGATTAGGGTGATGGAAAGTAGATGCCTCCAGCCAAAGCCCGGACTTAGAATCATAGAATGGTTTGGGTTGGAAGGGACCTCAAAGATCATGGAGTTCCAACCCCCTGCCCTGGGCAGGGACACCTCCCACCAGAGCAGGTTGCTCAAATAGCCATCCAGCCTGGCCTTGAACCCCTCCAGGGATGGGGCATCCACGACCTCCCTGGGCAACCTGTTCCAGTGTCTCACCACCCTCATAGTAAAAAATTTCTTCCTGAGATCTAATCTGAATCTTTTTTCTTCCAATTAAAAACCGTTTCCCCTTGTCCTGTCACTACACTTCCTGGCAAAGAGTCCTTCTTCAGTTCTTAGGGCACCGCCTGAAGCAGAAGCAGAAGAGACAGGGGGATTTAGTCTTGTGCAGAAGGAGGGACGTCTCTGGGGCTTGTTGAGGGAAAATGGGAGCGTTGTGATGAAGAGCAGCTGCGGAAACACCCCTGGAAAGGATGGGGAATTGGCAGGAGCTCTGATAAAGCGACCCAGGGACGGTGCTGGGGTCAAGGAGCCAGCGCCGGGCTGGGCTGGAACTCATTACCATCTTCCTCCTCACATCAAAGGCACTGGACTTTCCACATCCTTCCTAAAGACACTGGTCCCCACCAGCAATATCACCCTGCACCACCTCTCTCCCGAAGGACTGGGCGCTTTGGCCGCCGCACGGATCCTGGAGAGCAGCGGGATGAAGCTGAAAACTCTCTCTGGGGTGGGCCCTTTATTGCCCATTTCAGCCAAGAGCTGTCACCCTCACAGCAGAACCTCTCCCCTCCTGTAACAGAGGAGATGTCCCATTATCTCCGGAGCCACGCTGACCCCTTTAGTAGCCCTCCAGCCCCCGTGGGCACAGGCTGGGGCTCTGCCTCCCCCACACCCAGATCCCCAGCCTGCCGGCTTGTGCATTTTTGCCTGTTTTCTCACTAGGTTGGCCCATTGCCTTTAAAAGGCTAAATGCTCCGGACTAAATTTGGTCATGCAGCTCTGCCTGGTTCCCTGGAATGTCCTCGGGTTTCAGGCTCCTCTGATAGCACCATTCCCCGCCTCCCGCTGGGCTCCATTGGCTTCCCAGCACCCGAATCGCGGCTGGGTCCTGTTATTGGCCAACTCTTGGACCGAGGGGTGTCCCCTCTTTATAACTACTATATCCCGGGCTGCAGGGGCTTGAGAGCTGCTGAGATTTAACACTTCAGCACCTGCTGCCTCTGGGGGAAGCAGTGGTGGAGCTTCGGCTTCTGTTTTTTTTCTCCTTGTTGGGTACCACACACAACCGCAACCGTGTCTCGCCAGCGAGCCAAGATGTCCAAAGTGGCCAAATATCGGCGACAAGTAAGCGAAGATCCGGATATTGACAGTTTGTTATCGACGCTGTCTCCGGAAGAGATGGAAGAGCTGGAAAAGGAGCTGGACGTGGTGGATACGGATGGAAGCATCCCGCTGGAGCTCAGTCAGAAAAACCAAACGGAGAACTCCCCGCCTGGCCCGCAAAACTGCGACACGGTGCTCAACCACTGCGAGAAGGAGCCCAGGAAACGTCTTCAGAGGGAACAGTCCGTGGACGTAAGTCACATCTCCCCGTGCTCGAGCCTGGTTCTGTGAGAGATGCAGGGGACGTACCCGTGAACCCCGCGGGGCTGTTGTAGGGGACGAGGTGGAAAACACAAACCCCGAGGAAGGTGTGCTGTGCTGTGCTGGCTGACCAGGAATAGCTGTCGTGTGTAGGGGCCGGGGGAGCGAGGCAGGAGCTGCTCCAGGCACTCTGGGAGGGAACGGGGTATTTCCTGAAATCCCAGTGTCACTGGCAAAGCCAAAACCTGTGCTGGTGCCGGGGATTTTCTCTCTGCCTCTGCTCACCCACCCTCTGGCAGGGCTGGGAGCAGAGATGGTACCCCCAGAAGGCAGCTGGAGGTGCTGTGACAGCGATCCCACAGGCTGCATTCCTTTTTCCTCCTGTTTTGTTTTTTTTTTCCCTTCGGAGAGCTCCAGACTCTCAGTCCCTTCAGCTCTGCCTGTGCAAAAGCTTAAAGTCTTCAGTTCTTGTGGAGTAAAAAAAAAGTTTGCTGCTTTGTTGAAATCACAGGTTTTTCCCCGAGCTGTTTGTTTCATTGTTCTTCAGTTAAAATTCATTCTTTTATTTTGGTTTGGGTACATTTATCTCCTCCTTTGCACCTGGCAGATCCTTTAATAGCTTGCTTTTAGCTAGAAAGCTCCGTGCCAGTCCCTCTCATCTTTTTGCCTTAGTGGGAGCCAGTCCCACTTCTCTGTAACATTTATTAACCTCTGCACTAAGAATATTTGGTATGTGCCTCGTGCGTGGGAGGCTGGGAAGCATTTGGTCTCTCTGGTTTTTCACGGCAGGGCTGAGCCAGAAAAGTGAAAGAAGGAGACTCTGCGGGTGTTTATCCCTGTAGTCACGGGCAGATTTCACATCCCAGCCTGGATTTGCATCTGCTGGGACAGGATGGGGCTGGGGAGGATCAGCAGCATAAGCAGAGCAGAGGGTTATCTGGATACCCCTCCGGCTCCGATTTCTTGCCTGTTCCAGCACCCTGGATCTCCCAACGGAGTAACCGAGCTCTGACTTGCCCGTGAGCACTTGGAAATAGCTCTTTAGGGATGTGTATGGAGTTTATTGCAGGAGGGTCCTCTCCCGACTGGGTCTTGGGAGAAAACAGGGAGAAAAAGTTGAAAATTGCAGTCGTAGGAGAAATTAAGGTTTATTTTGGAGACTGGAAGAAGGGGTTAAATAGTTTCCCCCACCCTTCTCCACGCTGGGAGCTTTCCTCTGGCTGGGAGGACACGGCACTCGCAGCCTTCACCTTCTATATGTGGCCTCAGCGTGGGCGGGGGGACAGAAAGTGCCGTGCCCCACGCCACCAGGGCACGGGGTTTGTTTTCCCAGCGGAAAAATCTCCCCGTGGTGGGGAACTGCAGGCGCTGCGGGACAAACCCTCCTGAAAGAGAAAACCCTGTTGTGTGGGACCAGTTATCCCAGTGCCCCTGCGGGGGTTTGTGCTGGTTCACAGGTGATCCCGGCTCACAGCCAGCACTGAGCTGGCACTGGAAAAGCTGCTTTTTCAGCCAGGGGGGAACTCTTGTGTTTGGCACCGGTAGCGACGCCGGTTTGTTTTTAACCATGGGAAGATGAGCAGCCGAGTGGGAATGGGACTGGGAAGTATCCAGGATCAGGAGGAAGGGAGGAAAATTGTCGTTTTGGGAAAAAGAGAGCTAGGAAATTGCAAATACTCTGATATTTGGAAGGCACCTGAGAGTCTGTGTGTGTGTTCTGAGGACGGGGATGGTGGCAGGGGATGGCATGGCAGGGGGTGAGGTGCTCCAGGAGAGGGTCTACAGCACCAAGGTCCTGAGAAAGGAGAGCACTCCTTCTGCTCTCCTTCAAACTTCGGGAGCTTCGGGCCGTGGAAGACAAAGCAAGTTGGCTGCCAGTCAAATTTATCAGTGAAACTGGCCCAGTTAGATTGCGTTGCGGTAACTGGATATGGCAGAACTGACTTTCTTCTTCTATTTCAATCCCTGGAGGCCAAGAAAAAAAAATATCTTCCACCCTTTCCTCCTTGGCATTGTTAGGAGCTGGGATTAGCACCTAGAAAATGCCAGTCAGCCCGTGGCGGTCGGTTGTGGAGCAGGGCCTTTGCTCCACCATGGGGCACAAGGACAGGATGGGGATGGGATGGGAAGGGATGGGATGGGATGGGATGGGATGGGATGATCAGACCACAGAAGCAATTGCAGAAAGCAGCCCAGGAAGCTGATGGTTCCCTCAATCCCAGGAGCCGCAGGGCTGTGTGTTGTTGCAGGATGGCATGAGAACATGGAGCCATCTGGAGCATCCCAGGCGGCTCCGGAGCTCTCTCCCGGCTGCTCAGAGCACTGAGGCCTCTGATGACAAATCCCTCTCCTGTATCAGTGGATTTCATATCGCAGCAGGCAGCGGAGCACTCGTGCCTGCCAACGCCGGCGATGTGGCTGCACACCCACGGTGGTGGCATCACCCCAGGGGTGTCCATCCCTGCCCCTCTCCCTGGACGCCTCCCAGCATAGAATCACAGAATCATAGAATCATTGAGGTTGGAAGAGACCCTTGGGATCATCGAGTCCAACCATCTCCCCTACTCTACAAAGCCCTCCCCTACACCATGTCCCTCAGCACTGCATCTAAACGGCCCTTAAACACAGCCAGGGATGGGGACTCCCCCCCCTCCCTGGGCAGCCTGTTCCAATGCCCGACCACTCTTTCGGTGAAAAATTCCTTCCTAATGTTCAATCTAAACCTCCCCTGTTGGAGCTTGAAGCCATTCCCTCTCGTTCTGTCACTAATTACCTGTGAGAAGAGCCCAGCACCAACCTCTCTACAGTGTCCTTTCAAGTAGTTGTAGAGAGGGATGAGGTCTCCCCTCAGCCTCCTCTTCCTCATACTAGACAGCCCCCGCTCCTTCAGCCGCTCTTCATATGATTTGTTTTCCAGGCCCCTCACTAGTTTCCTTGCCCTCCTCTGCACTCGCTCCAGCACCTCCAGATCTCTCTTGTATTGAGCATCGTGCATCAGGAACCCACGCAGCCCCCGGCACCCCGATTAAATCCATGGAGCAAAACCTTTGTGAGGGAGATGCAGACTCGGAAGGGAAGGGGAGGAAGGGAAGGAATGGGAGGTCCTTCCAGCGGGACTGGCCCTCTGGACATCTGGAAGATGTTATCCTGCGTCTGTGGTGTGTCTCTTCAGTGGGGAGGGACAGGAGGTTAGATTCTTGTCCTTGAACTACAGAGGGCTTATAGGTCCCTACAGAGAGTTTGTAGGTCTGTAGTTGCACAGAGGCACCGAGGATAGAAAAAATTAGGGTTTTCCCAGCCCAGCTCCGCGGTGGAGCCTTGGGCTGTATCATTATTGCTAAAACTCATTTTGCAGAGCTGGGAGGTGGTTGGGTCACAGTCTGCTGGGACTGGGGCTGGCACCACACTGACCCAAACGGCCACACTCCTCTCTCCCCACCTATTTTTCCTCCTCCCTCGTGTTCTTCCCTCCCTCCTTGTGCTGGTGGGACGTTGGCTGTAAGCTGGGACGTGCAGGAATTGCTCCAAAGTGCAAAATAAGGTGTTTTAAAGGTAAAGGTTGAGTTTGTGCCCATCTCACGGTTCTTCTTGCAATCATCGCTCTGTTCTTGGGCTGGCTCCAGGCACCCCCGTTTCTTTCTAAATATTGGGAGAAGTGGGTATATTTAGAAATATTAGAACTACATAATAGCACGTCTTCTTAGTGATGAAAAGGGCAAACTTGGGTAACTAGGAAGCAGTTTATAAACAGCCCAAAATAGACGTGAGCTTTGCCCTAACTTCTCCGCACTGGGAAGCCAAATTCGTGTCTTGGTGATGCGTCAATTAATTAATCTTCATTTTGTATTGGTAACGAGTGAAAGTATACCCCAGTTCAACAAGTGTGCCCCAGTGGGGCTTGGGACAGGGCTGCTCTTTGGATGTGCTCAACGAGGCCTTCTTGTAGGTCCCTGTGTCACGGGAGCCAAAATTAAAGTCATATTCACGAGCAGATAAATTATGAGATGACCTGATCAAGGGCAGGTTGGAGGGGGCTTGGAGCAACCTGGGCTGGTGGGAGGTGTCCCAGGGCAGGGGGTGGTACTGGGTGGGCTTTAAGGTCCCTTCCAACCCAAACCATTCTGTGGTTCTGTGATTTCTAATAGCTTGTGGCTCTTTCTGTAGGAGGCAAAGACAAAATGAGAGAGAAATTCAGGGTAGAAACGTGCTCTGAAGTTGAAAATGTGACAGTAACCAAAGGAGGATTTACCTGGAGGTGCAGCTATGACTTGAAATCTCTGTTCCGTGCCTGGGATTTCTGTTCAGAAGAGGAAAAGCTGCCTGTGCCAGGGGCTCGGGTGTCTCTGCGGGATGGGTTTCCCTGGCAGCTGAGCCATAGCAGGAGATTTGTGAGATCTAGTCTGGTTTTGTCCAGTTCCTCCTCTGCTGTTGGTGACACCTTCTTTAAAAAGCATGTACTGATGCATACAGCACTATGATATACATCCTGGAGATACCCCCATCTTTCCCATCGGCGTTTGGTCGCTCCCAAACCCCCTCAGGGGTACTTCTGCTGGAGGGGACCTGTCTGGGAAGAGCTGCCCCACGGGACGGACCACTGCTCCGTGTGAATCACACAAACCATGGGGCCAGGTGGTTGGGTGGACGAGCGCTCCTTAGCAGTTGCCATATCAATAGCAGGAGGTTTTACTTTTCAAACCATGCCACGAAATCCACCTGCTGCTGTTCCTGCCTCTCCATGGAGTCCCACCTGACCTCAACGCAGGACCCCAGAGGCTCCAAAACACTGAGCACCCTGTGGCAGAGGCAGCCCCTCCTTGTGCTCTCCTTCTCCAGCACCACCACCTTCCCTGGGAGTGGATGGAGCCTCCTTCCCTTAATGTCACCTGTAAGGAGAGGACACCTGGATGTCCCAGTCCCGTCAGAGTTCCCTGTCCTGCCTCCCAGCAGAGCTGCACTGAATTTGTGCTGCTTCAAGCAGGGATGGCTGT